CAGGATTCTCGTGTGTTGGAGGCTCGCAATAATCAAGTAAGGTGATTGCTTATAGAAAAGGGTTGAACAAGAGATAGGATTGAGACCATTGCCCACGCCATCTTAAGGAGATGTTGGGCATGTGAAGACATGACCCGCACTACCTTCTTCTCGGTAGTGATGATTTATGTCAAGCGAACCATGTATGAGCTGGAGCAACTTGAATGGGATTTGGAACCTTAGCCCGTGGCGAGGCCGAACGATGCCCTGCAGGCACCCACTTTTGAAGCACTAATGTATTCATAGATCGAGTCTGTATTTTCCATTTTAGAGTCTGTTGTTTGTCAGTCTGTTTTCTTTTTACGTCCAAATATGCTAGCATGTTTGGAGTCTGTATTTGAGTTTAGTTGGAGTCTATTATTTCCCATTTCAAAGTGTTTAGTTTGTAATAGAATGTTGTGGTAATGGAAAAATTGAAAATTCCCAAAAAATGTTCCTTTTTGCTGGCACTTATTTTTGCGAACTATGCCTGGTCTGATTTGTGCGAGGTCATGATACGTAGGCAATCTCCATAGGATTCGACCGTAACTAAATGAAGAGAGAAAGAAAGAAAGAAAACAAGAGAGGATGGAAAAATAAGAAAAGAAAAGGGCGGAAAAATAAGAAAGGGATAGAATGCAGAAAGAAAAGAAGAGAGAGAAGAAACAAAAAGAAAAGAGGGAGTTTACAGTCGGAACTAAGAAAATGCCGGGATGACGCATGCGGTCGAGTAAATGCATAATAGAAATGGTTAACTATATAGGCGCATTCATGCCCAATGTGTGGTTATCCAATCTGATAAAGCCTAATCGCTAACGAAATTGTTGTCTAAATGTGTGAAACAGGCAGATGGTTAGTTGTTTGTCATTCTGGCAACCCATTCCTACAACACCCGATCAAAAAACAAGCTGAAAATGACTGGAAAGGAATATAATATTGTGGACCGTTGAAAGAGGTTGAGGGGACAGATGTGAACGCTATGAAAGAGGAGATGCGTAAATTGAAACAACAAATGGCTGAAATGCATCAGGCCTGGTCTCAGGGGCATCCGACACCAGTATATCCCGCCAATCCATCGTATATCCCGCCTTTGGTTCAAGTTCAGGAGCCTCCCACTGCCAATTCATCTCCAGCCTTCCCTTACTACATACAGGGATATGGCACTACTTCCTATGCTCCCCAACCTCCACCGCCCAAACAAAACCCTCCACCACCAATTGCCCCTATCTTTGTGGCACCTCCACCTGCCACACTGCAAAGATCATCCAAGGAGCCTTTGTTTCAAACCCACGATGACCAATATTATCCCCCTAAACCCACTTTTAAAGCTCCTGAGCCATATACCTATACACCCCATTTTTCAGATCCCGAAAGAAGTTCAGAAACCGGCTAAGAATGCGGAACAGGAAGAAGTGATTCGCAAAGTCAAAAGCCTGGAGCAGTCCTTCAGGAATATGCACGGTTTAGGCAGCCAGGTTAGCGTGGCCAACAAAAACCTATGCCCATTTCCCGACGTTCAGTTGCCTGCGGGGTTTAAAATGCCGAAGTTTGACTTGTATGAGGGGCACGGTGACCCAATAGCCCATCTGCGTGGATTTTGTAGCAAATGAGAGGTGTTGGGGGAAAGAACGAATTGTTGATAACATATTTCGGTCAAAGCTTGAGCGGGTCCGCGCTGGAATGGTACACGAGACAGGATCCCACCAGATGGTACACATGGGATGATCTTGCACAGGCATTCATTGGCCATTTTCAGTATAATCTTGAGATAGTCCCCGACCGTCTATCACTGTTAAAACTTGAGAAAAAGCCTGGAGAGAGCTTTAGAGAGTTTGGTTTCCGCTGGAGAGAGCAAGCTGCAAGGGTTGACCCCCCAATGAGGGAAAGTGAAATGGTGGATTACTTTCAGCAGGCTTTAGAGCCAACATACTTTGGGCACCTGGTAACGGCAATCGGTAAGTCTTTTAACGAGGTGGTGAAGATGGGAGCCATGGTCGAGGAAGGTTTGAAAT